AACACTGTTAGAGGCAACCCAAAGGTAGTTTCGGAAAATGCGATTGAAAATACCGTGGAAAGGTAAAGTGACTGAAGCAAACTACTTGACAAGAGTCAATGACGAAATCAAGTGGAAATCAGAAAATAACAATGCACAATGGACACATATTCATTGCAGGAAAGTTAAACAAAACAGTGACAACAGGTAAAATGAACGACAGAAGCGATGAGCACGGAAGAGAATGCTGGCTAGTTAAAGAAACCGGGAGGGTCAATAACGAAACTAGTAACGCACATCGGCGTTGGAAAGGCATTTGCTTCTGGCAAGTATTAGGAGAAGTATTCTTCTGTACACATTATGTTACATATAGACACACAAGAAAACCGCATGCCCGCGCGTATAATGAAGGTTGGCAAAACTGCTCGCCAATTTGAGAAATTTAGCTGAACTGAATATTAAGAAAGCCTTATAACTCGTCCTAGCTGTTTCGAGCGTTCGTCGGAACCAACGAGTCTTCTTCAGAGATAGTACCCCACGGGTGCAGAGTAGCCATGCAAGTTCGGAACCTTGCGAGTTGGCATGACCTAGCCACCAGACGAATACGCGATATGAGATTGCAGACGAAAAGCGCGCAACTTAGCGCTACCACACTTAGACCCGAACGAGAAAGGCGGACCGGCACCTGAGTTGTCACAGTGGTGGTGTCCTGAGGAAAATTCATTGTCAATGTTACTCTGCGTAGTAACCGCCGCAGTGTTCTGACGAGAGTTCGATAGGTTCATTGCAGTTTGCACAGCAGATGCACCAATATCCTGAATGAAACTCAGATTGTTCATTGTGGATAGGTTTCAATGTTCTGGGGACGAAACGGTGGTTAGTTGCAGTGTAAGTCCTCGTATGATGATTGCATGTTTGAGGTCAACCCAGCGATATTTGCGCAAGTTTGGCGGAGCTATGCCAGTTTCGCAGCAGAAAATCTGCCTGATGTGGCTCCCATAGTTTCGGAAACAGCCACTATCCCTCGCAATTCATTTCACCGAGCGCTAGTTATCAAAGCAGATTAGTGCGCAGAGAGAAAGTATCAAAAAAGATTTAAATACATTTTCTTATTCGGGTTATTACAACTGGCTTTTCAGAGCATGATCCCCTATGGCCCCTTAAAAATTTTAACATCTCAGAGCCCTCCGGGAATTATCTGTCGTTCACAGGGGTCCAGATAAATCTTGTTGAGAATGGCTGGTATAGATCATCACCAAGGCCAGGCAATTGGAAAAACTACGTAGCCCCTCGTAACCACTGCACTTGACTGCTCAGCGATGACAAATTTCGCATATCAGCCAAAAATGGAGAAAACTTTCGGTGCTAACCACAAACTGTTGTACTAGTATTTCAAAAACCTTCGTAAAAAAGGGCAGGGAATTCCTCCATGCCAGAAAGCCGATAGTCTAACCAGAACAGCTATAGAAGCAGTAAACGCGTCGAGGACGCTATATTTTCCCAAATTGCAAAGGGGTTTACTATCTGGCTACCTTCCAGCTTCTGTTTTCCCGCCTCCAGGACGCACCCATATCTCTTTTACTGCCGAAGCAGTATTGCAGTAGCTGAGGTCTCTGCGCAAGCACAGCTCTCCGGGTGGCGAAAGAGACGCAAGCGAAGCTGAATTTGGGAATCGAGTGAGAATTTATCGGCCAGCAAATAGCAGCCCCCGTCAAAGGGATCGAACTTTTCCGTTAATATGATTAACCCATGGATTGGAACTCACTCACACTGGCTGAAAATCAGACGCGAAATAGTGAGCGACCTTAACCTCCTAAATTAGCGCGTTTGGGTTACCAGTAAATGGAGTTAACCTGTCCTGTAGAGATAGTCTTTGCCTATTGGATTCCTTCTGTTAGCTGGGCCCGTGACTGCGAAGTCAGAGAGTCGCAGTCTTATAGAGCAGCTAGCAACAGTACAACAGTAGTCAGTGGCAGAGAGCAGAGAGAAAGTAGAAGCGTGACAACACCGTGCGTAGACATCCTTAGCCCAGATGCACTGGGAGCATCAGTAAAATAACTGGAAGAACCTTTGGCTCAGTTCGTTCAGAGTTCCTTAAATCAGAAGCAGGTTCATGCGACGTGGAAGCTTGGAATGATCGATTCACAAAGGTGGAAGCAGGACTGAGCCACCAAACTACTGCCCAGTATCTCTTCTCCATCTACGGCCTAAGTTAATGGAATTCATCGTTGGCGATGCGTCGGTATGTTGTCTAGAAAAATGCAACATTATTGAATCCGAGCAAAAAGGCTTTCGTTGTCAGCGATCGTGTACAACGAATTTATTAGTTGCACAGAGGAAATGGACCTAGTCAGCCGACACTGAAGAGTCTGCTGATGTGATCTACTTGGATTTGTCGAAAGCTTTCGATCGTTTAGTTCATCAAATTCTCCTTTCGAAGCTCCAAAATTACGGGATAGGTGACCCACTCCTGAGCTTGGTTGCCAACTTTCTCTTGCGACGACAATTAGTGGTCAGAGTTCAGAGTACTTTATCTGATCCCATACCAATCGAGTCTGGTGTGCCCAAGGACTCAGTTCTAGGGCCACGGTTGTTTTTGGTATTCATCACTAACCTTGCACAGAATATCGTTTCAAATATCCTGCTGTTTGCTAATGATAGCGAGATATGGCGCCTGCTTCAGGCGGATGCCGAGAAGAATTTACTGCAGTATGGCATGGATATGGTACACCAGTGGTCAACCCAAATATGTTACAGGTTAACTTGAGCAAATGCAAAGTACGCTCCATACGACACTGGAATATTCATTCGTACAGGATGGGAATGCAAGTACTGCAGAAATCATCCATCGAACGCGACCTTAGCATGCTGGTTGTTCCAAGCAATCCGAAAGGCATCGAAAACTGGTAACAAACACATCTGCCTGTAACGACGGCCATTCCGAGAGCTCGACACCACTATTTTCAGACAGGTGCTCAATGCGTATGTTCACTTGGAAGCCATGGTTGAGGCACCAGCTCACTGCACTTGACTAATCCCAATGTCGGGCTTCTAAATAGCATATTGGAACGCGCCACCTTCCATAGGAGTTGAGGCTGAAACGTTTGGAAGCATTCGGCGGACGGTATCACTGAATACGAGGCGACTTGATAATGGCACACTTAATTTTGCATAATCCAAATCAGGTGTGCCGCTCTTTACTGCAACTCAACAGTAACACCAAACTTAGAGGCCACTCCTTTAAATTGGCAGAACAATACAGCCGCCTAGCGTGCCGTAGAAATTTCTTTTCCATTCGTGTGTGACAACCATGAAACGCTCTTCAGGAATTGGTTGTTTCTGCACCGACATTAGCCATATTTATAAGTCTGTTGGATGACGCACTCCACCACTTACATTTGGTTGCTTGACCCTACTCTATATCCTACTCCCGGAAAATATCCTGGATTTATTTTTGTGCCTAATGAAGCGAGGAAAATACTCAGAGTGCAGGGCGATTTCAATGAGCCAATTTTTTGACGGTAAAACAACTAACTGCATTTTTTTATTAACGTGTTTCGGTAAGTCACCAGACCACGAAATGTGGCTTGTAAAGCAGTGTTTCCTAAACCGTATAAAGTCATTGTTCAAGTAGCCGCCATTACGGGGGAGGTAGACGACAGATTTCCGTAACTCGAGGATGTTGCTTTATGAAAATGTGCTCATAATCTTGAATAGCAGAAGGAAAGTATCTTTCAGTCGTCTTGGTCAAAGGGAATCCATTCGGATGTGGCGCAACGATCAAAGTAATTCAGGGTACCGCAGCGCCCCATGACCAATTTGGCAAATGTTCGTTGGACTTCTTCCTAAGCTGTTCAATCTTTCTTTCTTAGTTGGCAGTGAATGATGATACAGTACTCCAGGGTCGGTCTCACGATTATTTTGAAGAAATCAAGTCGTGTTTCAGATAGGGAGAGAGTTATGGGGGATGTAGCTGGATAGTAGTTTGGCTTTTGCAACTTGGTCAATGATGCGTTCCCCAGCTCACACTAAGCTGCTGCCTCGACAATTCCATCCTTTCATTTACTTGCCCGGTGACAAGCTAATGGAAACGGGTTCGTCAGCTAGACCTTGTCCCCGGGGTAATCTTCATTTGAAACAGACCGAAGCAGCCGTTAAGTATGGAGGACTTAAAATTAAGTTTGGTTCTATAATGGAGTAGCAAAGGATTTGCATAGTAAGATGGTCACCTCCGTCGTCACTGCCCCCGTAGCTCAGTGATCTTCACCACAGACTGTGAACAATCGACTTGTGGATCCTAGCTTGGCAGGGGGCAAATGGAATGTGCAATGCTGAGACCCGCAAAAAGATGAAATGGACATACAATGTTTTTCCGGTCGTGTGATGGCTGCCTGACTGAGTGCAGATGTGATGGATTTCTATCTACAACGTTCAGCTCATGTTATTGGACGCGGTGGAGTCATTCCACGACATGACTGCCTCTAACACATCTGGTAAACAATCAGACGAAATCGGAATAACCCAGTTAATGTGGTTCGGGTGTGACATATGTCAAATTGGTGGGATAGTACTGCCTAATGACATCATGAGCTGGAAGGTAAAAGGGGCTGCTACTTCTTCACAAAATTAAGAATATGACTGAATCAAAGCGTTTGTGATCCAGTCACAAAGAAAGTAAATAAATTCAGGACAAATATTTCTTAAAATGATGCGAGTTGGGTAGTGGTCAACTTTGGTATTTTGAAATACCACCATGCTAAACGGTGATACCTACGCAATATTACTGGGTAGGCAAAAGGTGATGGAATTGTGGTAAGAACGTACATTGCACGTGTTGTAAAGATATTACAATTGGATGAAATTCCTTGAGGAAACGCCTCCTGCCAGGAAATACAGAGAACCTCGATGGATTATTAACCCACTAGCAGCTAATATATTTGTATTGTTGTCCGACGAGAATAAGTTAGCGTTTCAGTCAGAATCCGTAAAAAATACTACCATTTCGCCTATTTGTTCTTCAGGATAACGATGGGTACATTACGAAAACAGAACTCGGTCACGTGCTGAAGAGCATCGGGCACGAGTGCACAGGTGAGTATGGAAACGAACTATCGAATTCGTACGCACCATTGATTAACAGTGAGTATCTGCAAAAACGTCGGTCTGCAGTTTCAGTGACATTGGTTCCCGGTGCGAACCCATCTTACAGTAGGCAAATCGGTGTACTTTTTCCACAATGCTCCAGCGTAGCTGCGATTCTTGTTTAGCAAGGGGAATAAAGGCGTTTCATTTGCATGATAATGGTAGATGAGAAACCGAGAAATTTGATGGTGGTTATGGCAGTCAGAGTCAGCCAAACAACTACCTTACATCAGCAAAAGTGATAGTTACCTTTGTGGGTTTATACAAAGAATAATACTTCGCATGCAACCCGTTTTACCGGTTGACTAACATCGGAGTTGCTGAAACCTCGGCATGCACCCATGACTCGTGTGCATCAGACTTCCTACTTCTCTTAAAAAAACATCGATCAGCCCATTCATTGCAAACGGATTCTCTGAATGTGGGGGCTGTGTCGGTACTGAATTGGAACTGAGTATAATACCTTGTTGACCAATGTTTATGGATACAATGGAGGTATATTAATCAACCAATTGTTTCCATTGTAAAAAGTGGACAAAGAAACTTGCCGTAGGAACATGCTCTTCGTTTTGGTTAGTAGCAATTAGGCGGCAGACATTCCCTAGTCAGTAGCAGTTTAGGGGAACACCTATTGATGAGCCAGCGGGCTAAGAATACCTTAGAGACTAAGCCGGGTGATATTAGTTCCATTCACCTCCTAGATTGTAGTCTGCGCTAAACACGGTGCTCAGATCTGAACGTTGCAAGGCATTACGTACAGCCAGTACTGTCAGTACTCTTGCAGTCGTCTCCCAGCTGGGTTGCAACTTGCACGGTGTATACCGCTCTGCGTCAGCTGCGGAGTAAGGACGATTATGGTGCGAGAGTATGAAAAATTGCAAAGAGAGCTATATCGCCGATGTAGCCTCCTCTTCGCACAGCTGTCAGTTTGAGAGAGCGAAGAATGGACAGATGGAATAATGCTACAATGGGGTTTAAAAATCTAAGGGTCCACAATTCCCGTAGGATGAGTTCAAAAATGTGCCAACAAGGTGAACTGCGCATCTATGAATTAAACCTTGTTGGATTAAGCCTCGCATTGTATAGAACTATGCCATTTATTCATAATATTCCCTTTAACACATATATAAATCCACCTATCCACATTTTGTGGGTGGACTGTAAGCACAGTGGGTGTTTGCATTTTCTCTTCACCAAATAGAACCATAACAATGGAACAGATGGACGCAAGTCGTCACCACTAAGGCAAACGGTGTAATGCTTCGTCAATCCGTATTTTGAAAATGAACAGCTTGAGCGCAGAAATGAGATAAACCGGAAGAGCGTTCCACGACTGGCCAATTCAGGGAGACAAAATTTGGTGACTTTTCAACCGACAGCTATCTTCAGTTGCTGGCCTCTAAGTTTGGCGTTCTCGCTAAGCTTCATGAGTTATCCGTAAACGGGCTTAGGTTTTTCGATCTGTCATGTCCAGTTGATGTCACTCCATAGACGGTGACACCTTCCACTGTACATTCCTAGGTATCTTAGTCGCAGCTGGCAAAGGAGACGGAATAGGCCCCTTATGTTCTTGGCCGACTCTAGCTATGAAGTCTCGAGTGCAGCCTGGTCGCATTTCTGTCAGGTTGTCAGATTTAAATTGCCTACTTTGCATGGAAACCTCATGCACACGTTGAGCATTTGTGGAAAATTGAAGGAGTCATACCGCATGAACGCCTTCTGTACGAGACCCATGTGCTAGTAACCGATAATTGACACTCAGCTTGTTTCGAACAGCCAAGGTCATCCAGAATCCATACGCTAAGGTCGGGTTCCGGTGAAGCAGTTTGCAAGATATGGTCTCCAACTTTATGTGTCACAGGGCTTGGGGCGTACATGTACAGTTGTCCGCGTTCAAAGAAAGTAGAGTGGTGTTTTGTAGGTCCTTTGAAATACATATTGTGTGGATGGATTGCGACATGTAATCTCAATGCTGACCGTGATTCCCATTAAGGTGAATCTTAGTCGACTTATCACAATGACTGTAGCTGAAGCCGATAGAAATTGGGTGTTGCCAGCTCGAAAACACTGCACTCGATGCTATTTCATCACATCAGATAGAAGTAGCAGGCATTGAACCCAGACCATTGGGGTGTTAGTTGTGACCGCTACCCCTAAGCAGCCGGGTAGAGTTGTCCTTCGCCATTCCGCACGGCCGCCATAGCTTGATATCATCGGCAAAAAAGGGAAATTCGATTCGATGGCACGCACAAGGTCGCTGATGTAAACCAAGAATGAGCACAAGCCCAACACTGACCCTTATAGAACACAGTAGTCCACATCAATAGGATCAGAAAATGAGCCCCGAACCTGGTGGTGTTCCTGCAGAATAGAGAGACCAAATTTACGACACGGAGCTGATCATCTCACTGAAATTTCTAACAACTTTCATCTATGTATCATCATCATCATCCAAAATTTCCCACACAGCATGCTCAACGAGTTCTGTTAGTAGGCCGTTATGTGTGATGATACGAAACAAGTCAATATATTCCTGTGGATGTTCTGCATAAAGTACATAGTCAGAAAGTACAGCGACATCATTTAGATCCGTATGACCCTCAAGCATTCAGGAGTCGATTATGAACTCATCGTTGGTAGGCACTGAATCAAGCACGGATGATCTTTCTACCGCTCTGAATCTGGTTGGAGGACTGATATGGTTGAACAGCGGAACGCTTGCAATAAGCTCCTTCAAGTCGACCTTAAACTGCTCGCTGGGGTATGCCGGAAAATGCAGATCACGAAAATCGAAGTCAAGAGAACATGGCTGTATCGTGATCACAGGACCGTTCCTAATGCCAATGTAAGACGGAGTCCATAACTGGAATGGATGTTGGGGGACATAAATAATGGCCATAAAGTGGATGCAGTTGCGCCACAATCGCGGACGGCACTAAAGTGAGTCTATGATCAGTGTTTCCGAATAATCCACTGCTAGCACTGATCGCCATGCTTCGCGTGTTTACGCTCTTTCCACGGCATATGCGAGATGTGGACGGAAAATGAGCCAATCCAGAGACCAGGTGCCGATAGCAAAATTGCTACCGCTTCATCAACGAAATTCATCACAACTAAAACATGCCTCAGCTCACCTAAGTGCTTTGAATCTGAGGGACCAGTGACCCGCATCAGCGTGGCTGTCATATATGGTTGGCGGCATCCGGTTTCGGATTTGCCTGTCACTGTGACCAGCCACAGGACGCATGCGCCTACAGAGGGACCATGGATGGCTTGCGCTGCACCACCCACAGCTCCATCCACACACCCCATATCCAGTGTAAACCCGAAGGAATAAGACCGGGAGGCATGCGGATGGGAGCCACGTTTCATCAACGGAGCCGGCCCACACTCCTTCACAGACAAACACAAGCACGCTGTATTTGGGGAATTAACCGCACACAAGGCGGTGGCTGGACCGTAGTCCGCTCCACACTGAGTGCATGGAACCACTCTTCGAGCCTAACACGGCCACAGGAACCGTGCACCCCATCCCCTCCAGCAACGACCAACTGTCTCCTGGAGGCAGTGTGGACGAGGTAGTGGGTTATAGACAGGTAGGCACCTGGTCAACATGCATATCAAGCGCAGCCACACCTGGGATGTCAAACAACAGCCAATCATCCGAAATGCCGATATCGAATAAAGTAAACGCATATGACGACAAAATACTCGCTAAATGAGCATATAGAAGAAATTGGTTATAAGTGAATCCGTGATAAGTACAAAATGTCCGAAAGTTATTTAAAAAATACCACGCGATACAATTACGCAAGTTTACCACAATTTGCGTGAGCGACGAGTGCAAGTAAGGAGAAGATTATCAAGTACGCAGAACAAACCAAATAACATGTAATGAATTTTATCCACATTAAAAAGACCTAGTTTAAGTGTAAGTTGGTTTAGCTCAACTGCGGTGAAGAAGCATTATATATATATATATATATATATATATATATATATATGGTGCGCTGAGGCTGGTGGTGGCTCGATCCTGACAGATGGTCTACCCACTGCTGCTACTGTTGCGCCATAGTCTCATGTCCTGGGCGCCTCCACGTGGCGACCGCTGGGTGGGATTTGGGTTTCGCCCTTCTCCCTGCTAAGATCCAGGACACCAATCCGCATGAGTCTGTGAACTGACCATGTGCTAGACCCGCTGCCTTTCGGGTGTTCATTTAATCGAAGGCTTTGGCTGAGGACCCGAGTCGATCTCCTGTCAGGTGTGGGCGCTCTGCCAGTATCCTAGTACATCCTCTTCGGAGGTTAGGAAGTGGTCGATGGCCCTCTTCCCGTAAAACCTAGCCATGGGAGACAACAGGTCTACGAGTTATAAGCTCACAGCTCGATTGGCGTAGAGCACGAGCATCACGCATTGTCTCTGACGGTGGGAGGGCACCTCCGGGTGTTCAATGGTTTGCTACTGCTCGACTCAAACCAGGCAGCCCCTGGTCAAATTGGTGCAACCCCGTCAAAACCCACCTGCGTCTGGCCGTGGTCGCAGGTGCGTATATTAACGGTCGCAAAAAATATATAAAAAGTTCCAGAACCTCCAAGGCTGTGTGTGACGGCCGTCACGCTGATCCCAATCTGTCTCTGCAATCACATTCCCGAGCTGGATCTGCTCCCCACTGCCTTGTGGGTCAGGCTATTGAGCCAAAGGCTCCAAGCGGAGTCCCTCAAGCAAACCTCCGAAGGATAACGACCACCTCGCGTGCGATTGCCCACCAATGCAATTCTATGCCTGCGCGCAAAACACTTAGCATCGGGTGCTGGAACGTGCGCACACTACTGGACCGGAACTCCAGCGAGCGCCCGGAGCGACGCACTGCACTCATCGCGATGGAACTGGTGCGCTATAACATCGATATTGCGGCGCTCAGTGAAAGCCGGCTCGCTGAGCAAGGTAAGTTGCATGAAGCAGGTGCTGGCTACACATTCTACTGGGTGGGCAACGCCGCCTCAGCACCACGTGAACATGGAGTCGGATTTGCAATACCCGATCGCCTCCTTGGCCAAATGGTGGGTGAACCAACGGGCATCAGCGCGCGACTGATGCCTGTTCGCCTACGACTCGGAAGAGGTAACTTTGCTACCTTTGCAAGCATGTACGGTCCGATCATGTGTTACCCAGATGACACGCGTGATCAATTCTACTGTGAGCTATCCTCCGTGATACGGTCTGTGCCGAGGAGCGACCGACTATTTCTGCTGGGTGATTTCAACGCGCGCGTTGGGCGTGATGCATCAGAGTGGACAGATGTTATCGGTCCGCATGGCATTGGCTCAGCGAATGTGAACGGTGACAGGCTGCTCTCACTGTGTGCCACTCACGGCCTGACGATCACGAACACACGGTTTGCACTGAGTGCGAGTGATAGAGCAACTTGGACGCACCCACGGGGTGGTCACGCTCACCTGCTCGACTATGTCATCGTACGTCAGCGTGATATGTGTGAAATGTGCACGACACGTCTACTGCGTGGAGTTGAGTGTGACACCGTTCACAAATTGGTTCAGACCAAACTGTACATATATTTTCGTAATTCTATGTATTGCACTCCCGACGTGAATCGCCGTACAATTGACATTCTCTCCCTCGGTACTGTGGCGAAACGTACTGAGCTGGAGAAGGCGATGGCTGCACGCCTGTGTGATGTGGACTTCATAGCCACAATGGGCGACCTGTGGCACCACATTCGCGACCAGGTGACAGCTGCTGCCGAGGAGACCATCGGGTGCGCAAACCGTAAGCGGCCTGATTGGTTTGATGACAACAATGCGACGATTGGCGCATTGGTGTCGGAGAAGAATGCAGCATTTGCTGCACATGTTGCAGACCCCAGTGACTTGGGGAATAAGAGTCAGTTTCCCAAACTTCGACGGCGACTGACCCGAGAGCTCCGTCGCATTAAAAATGCACGGTGGACAGAGAAGGCGAAGCAGATGGAATGCTACGCCGACACAAGGAATTCTTTGACCCCTTGAAGGCGGTGTATTGACCGAGATTGGAGTCGCTGAGGACACTGATCGATGGCAGTTCAGGCGCTACCTGCACACAGACTGCAGACATAATGCAGATCTGGCGAAATCACTTTGACTGTGTCTTGAACAACCGTTCAGAGGTCGACTGGCCTACATTGAACTACCTGAAGTAGCACGATGTGAAGGCGAATCTGGCGGACACGCCGACACTGGATGAGACGCAGAGAGCCCTTGCTCAGCTGCGAAACGGCAAGTGCGCCGGAGCCGACGGGATCCAGCCTGAAGTATTGAAACACAGCGGACCCGCGTTGTTGACTGCGCTGCACCACTTGGTGCAACATGTATGCATTGAGGAGGAGGTGCCTGCTGAGCTGAAGGATGCCCTTGTGCTACCACTGTAAAAGGGTAAGGGGAACAAGCAAAGTTGCATGAATTATCGTGGCATCAACTTGCTGAGTTGTGTAAGCAAGGTGATTACCCGGATCCTGCTCAACCGCCTCGTCAGTCAGGTTGTGGAACCAAACGTGGCGGAAGAGCAATGTGGATTCCGTTCGGGTCGCAGCACTAGAGATAGATATGGTGTTTGCGGCTAGTCAGTTGCAAGAGAAGTGAAGAGAACGACACCAGCCATTGTACTCGCTTTTTGCTGATTTCACCAAGCCATTTGATATAGTGAACCGCGAGGCATTATGGCTGCTGTTGGCTAAGTTTGATTGCCCGCGTAATTTTGTAAGTTTAGTTGAATGTCTGCACAGTGGTATGCGAACAAGGGTGCAGCTGAGTGGAGAGACCTCGGATGACTTTGCTGTTGTCTCTGGTGTGAAGCAAGGCTGTGTCTTAGCTCCTGCCCTGTTTAATATCTATCTTCATGCAGTGATGTCTTGTGCTTTTGATGCCGCTTGTGCTTACGGTGTTCGTGTGGAGCACCGTAATGTTTGTTGGTTGCTGAATATCCGTCGTTTCGGTGCGAGAACTCTAGACTGTGAGACAACTATCCGTATGTTGCTGTTTGCTGACGACTGTGCGTTGTTTTCACACAGCGCGGATGAGTTGCAGCACATCACTAGTGTTCTGGCTTCGACAGCGGCCAAATTTGGGCTCACCATCAACACAAGCAAACCTGTATGTCTCTTCCAGCCTTCACCGGAGGTGTAATCTTCAATATTGCCACCAATCAGTATTGGTGTTGAAGTATTGGAAACCACCTCCCGGTTTTGCTACCTTGGGAGTGTGATGTCGACTGACCAGCAGCTACACAGTGAGCTGTGTATCCGCGTGTCGAAGGCAGCGGCGGCTTTCGGGAAGCTTGAGTACCGAGTGTGGAACAACCATCAGCTTACCATTGGCACGAAGCTGATGGTGTACAAATCCATGGTGCTGTGCGTTCTTCGATACGACAGTGAAACGTAGACTATGTACCGGCGGAATGCGCGATATCTCGGCGGTTCCATCAGCACTGTCTGCGACGGATTTTGCGCATCGGCTGGGGCGACAGAGTTGTAGACACGGAAGTTTTGCGCCGAAGTGGGATGTATGCAGTGGACTGCATACTTTTATTGAGACACCTGAGGTGGATCGGTCAAGTGAGCCTTCTAGATTCGACGCGGATACCGAAGCGGCATGTGGGGAAACCAAACTTATGTTACCACGCCATGATTAAAGTGAGTTTCACACGTTCTAAGCTTGATTGCAGATCATGGGAATCGAAGACAGTTGATCGGCGTGCATAGCGCGATCTGATCACGAAGGCAGTTGCCGAGGTGCAGGAGAAAGCCCTCATGCATGCAGAGAAGCGGCAAGTGCGGAAGCTGCGAGCACCGATGGGTTGTTCTCCATCAACATCAAGCGCATGGTGCTGTAGAACATGCGGTCGCGATTGCCTTAGTCAGGCAGGCTTAGTGAGCCATGAGCGAGGCCACTCGGGACCACTACCGAAGCGACGACGGATCCTGCAAAGAACGTAGGCAGAACCAGTGCAGCGTCTGTAGGTACGCTGCATTCGATTTACTAACCGCATGCTTGCATGCTAAGTCTATTTATTTCATGTGGTGGGTTTTCAGTTTTGTCCTAATATATTTCTCCTATAGATGTCTAGTGAGCCATGAGCGAGGTCACTCGGGACCACCACAGAAGCGACGACGGGTCCTGCAGAGAAGGTAGGCAGAACCGGCGCGGCGTTTGTAGGTACGCTGCATTCGATTTACTAACCGCGTGCCTGCGTGCTAAGTCTGTATGTTTCAGGTGGTAGGGTTTTCAATTTTGTCCTAATGCTTTTCTTTCTCATATATATGTCTACCTGTACTCTATTCCATTAACTTGCACACCTCGCTTAGGTATTCGATTTCCATAACATTTTCGTGCTTGTGGCATTTCCATGAAGTATACTTTTTGACCTCGTGAACTTATCTCCCATGCTTCGGTAAACAACTTACTTCATATGCTCATTACTTTAAGATATACGTCACCCTTTCCTTATGCATTATTCAATTTATTTTCTTTGTTATCTTTCTCTCAAGTGATTGGATGTTGCTTGATATTCTCGGTGTGGCTGCGCTTGATGTGCATGTTGACAAGGTGCCTACCTGTCTATTACCCACTACCTCGTCCACACTGCCTCCAGGAGACAGTTGGTCGTTGCTGGAGGGGATGGGGTGCACGGTTCCTGTGGCCGTGTTAGGCTCGAAGAGTGGTTCCATGCACTCAGTGTGTAGCGGACTACGGTCCAGCCACCGCCTTGTGTGCGGTTAATTCTCCAAATACAGCGTGCTTGTGTTTGTCTGTGAAGGAGTGTGGGCCGGCTCCGTTGATGAAACGTGGCTCCCATCCGCATGCCTCCCGGTCTTATTCCTTCGGGTTTACACTGGATATGGGGTGTGTGGATGGAGCTGTGGGTGGTGCAGCGCAAGCCATCCATGGTCCCTCTGTAGGCGCAGGCGTCCTGTGGCTGGTCACAGTGACAGGCAAATGCGAAACCGGATGCCGCTTACCATATATATAACTCGGTGGGAGTAACCAAAGTTCTGAATTTACGTGTCATTAGGGGTAGCCCTATTTCAACCAACACTCGTGTCAACATTATTCTGAGATTTCGGAAGAGGTAGGAGGGTGGATCAGATCCGGACCGTAATTGTTCCAATCGAACAGGTGATGGTTGATTTAAATGAGTCAGGGCTACAGGTATTATTGACATAGCGCCTGAATTTAAAGCTACAGGTGACATTTTTACCGAGGTAACTAGGCTCCGTTATCAGGATTGAAGCAGAGCCTAGTACGGAAGACCAGGACCTGCACTTTCCTAGGATTGCTTCCACAGTAGCGATTTTGGCACTCCTCGTTTGCTGAATTGTTGTAATCAGTCTTTCGAACTTCTAAGACGATTCAAACACGAGCATGAATAGCGATAACCGTTCACACAGCACAAAATCAGAAAGACTGATCAGCTATTTTACAGCCTCACAGAACTTGATGAGAACTTGGTGCTAGTAAGATAATGATAATTATGAAAATTGGGCTCTTGTTCTGACATTTCCCTTGAACGAAATTAGACTGGCCGCACTTCTTTTCAGAATATTTGGCGCTCTCCTTTTGACTGATCGGTGCAACCCATCCTGTCACCTTGTACTTGTTTAGTAGTACAACTCGAGACAGTGGCGGAGCGCCTGGTTTTGGCTCAGGTGTAGTGCTGATTGCCTTCTGGCTGTCTATCTACACGCAGAACTGGCAGCCTCTGAGATAGGCGCGATTGTCACGCGACGCGAAGCATTGCGGGGTGCTGTGTGGTAAGTTGAGTGGCTGTATGGGTTACATAAACGCCGCTACGAGTGGTGCACAAAGTGATCTAACAAGAAACTGCACAAAAGGTCCAATAGCTTCTTCATTTTGTGGCGGACAGCCGTGGTTTATGTATTGTTGTACAGACCACAGACAGCTCTCTCGTTTGGGATTGTTAATGTGCTTGTATGGCTCAGCGATTGGACAATCGCGCGCGCTCTGGCGACAGAGGTGCTAGAATTGCGAGGTGAAGGTAAAAAGTGATCCGCACGAGTTAGATTTAAAAGATGCTCACTAAATAGCACTCGTCCAGCTAGCTCGAATGGGCTTAGGTACCTGCGTGTGCGATGAGAATTAGGAGAGTAAATCCGAATGAAGTACGAAAGCAGTAGGAATGCCACCACACTGCAAAGACAGATTGGATTATTACTTGGTGCATATTTGGTGATCCTATAAGTTGGCATATGATATGTACGTTGTAAACTAGGTCAATCTCAGTGCTAACTCCTCATTGATAGACCAATCAAGGCTGCATTGCAGTGCAGCAGAAGTATACGCACTGACCTATTGCACTTTTTGCTGTTGTTATTCATGGTGAAGTTGCGGAAGCGATACCGTAAATCAACTTGTTGTCTCAAAACCATTTATACACCCATCCATTTTCATCATAACTTTCAGACCAGGAAGTTGAAGAATTACTTTCCGAAGCAGACAGAGACGGCGACGGCAGGGTGACTTACGAAGGTGAGTGAAGTATGGACCAAGATGGCAGATATTGAACTTCCTTTTGAATGGGTCATCAGTTGTGATTTTTCACAAAGATCAAGTGTTACAAGCGGATCCAGTCTCGCCCCCAGGGCATACTGTGATAATTTAGACCACGTTAGCATCATAGAAATTCCTAATAACTGAGATATGACTCTATGGTCTGCAAGGGCTCCTGAATGGAATATACTCCATGGCTCTACCATACTGACACCCTTGCCGTTACTGAGGTGCGGGTGTTTAGTAACATGATGAACGACGGTTAAACATGTGCGCATGAATACGTGGGGTGTGATTAGGGAAAACTCCATTCAAATAGCGCACCCATAGAACGTGCGTCGCTCTGTAGTGTCTGTGCTCCTGGTTGGAAGCAGAATGGTTCAGCGCTTAGTCTGCAGCTCACAGAACATCACTTCGAGCATACACAGGTGCAGGTGACCCCGTAGTACTTCAAACTTGGTGCAACTTATTCTAGTTGCGTGTAGGCAAGAAGTTGGTACTGGTATTCAAATCAAGTCAAGTCAGTACAAGATTTTTGTACCCAAAAGGGTGCATTTCCAGCATTTTGCATCATCAACTGAAAAGTTACCAAAGGGTTACCATTAAAAACGTTAAGTTTACAATGGATAGAAAACTGAGGATGCAATGTCATAGATCGAACGAACAGCGATTCCAAAAGCTGGACTAAATCTTCGGGATTTGTATCCATTGAAAACGGAAAGGTTGCCTAAAACTGTTTCTTCAGAATTCGTCTCAATTGACGTAGAATATTGTGTCCAACGACGATAGATCGGGGATCGCGCGCGATATCTGGCGTGTATATCCAAAGTTGGATGGAGTAACCGGTCTCGGTGACCTCTGAAGTTGATTTAACAAAATATCTGACAGCGTAAACTTGCAACACTAAGATACGCAGTAGATAAGGTAAAAATGATGTTGGGCGATAAAGGGCAACGGCCGATTTAATGACCCCGCTACACGTTTGTTCAGGGTATTGTTGATACCCACTGAACGTTCACACCAAGTGGGTATTCATACACACTCCCAAACAAAGCTGCACGGCTTTTTAAAACTTCCGTATGGGATACGAGCGGTAGCTACGTTGCTGACGAAGCTGCAAACAAATGGTAATAATCCAGTCACTGGAGGTGCACCATTGTCTTAAATTATGTTGCACAAAAGTTAATGTTAAATTAGGGTAAACTAAGCCTATATCTTGCTCTCCTTGAGCCAATAAGCAGTTAAAATTAGCCTCGTTGTTTTTGACCATGTTGAGTGTTTCAATGATGTCATAGTAGGTTGTAGAGCTGCCAACGTTAAACTCAGAAACTACTGACTCTGGCCGAATAAGTGAACAATGCTGTTTTCATGTAACGCGTGTAAGAAAGAATGAGGCTTTATGTGAACAGTGTGTTCGAGTCGTTTCACAAGAAGCCTGTACTTAAAGGGCCTATACCAACAGAGCAAAACATTTTGAGCGTAGACTCGGTCCAATGAGTGCACGACTGAAGCAGGCGAACTGCTTCCAAATTTCGTAAGCTCTAGCCACTGAAGTTCAGAACGAATGAGAAGAACCGGAATGATGCGTTTTAAAATTCAGGTTGTTTGCAGTCTGTGTCGATTCTAGTGCAAACATGGAACAACCGAGCTGCCACCGAGTGAATGGACGCTTGTTGAAGCAAGCACGAAGTAGGCGTGTGAACGCTAGGAGTACCAACAACATGCCTGGGTATCCGATGCATCCACTCCTACTATCGTCCCTAGGTAAATAGCTGTTGTTTCGGGAGGATGCAATGTGAAGTGTGGTAACGGAAATAGACTCAGAGGTTTCAGCAAAGTGCAGTCGACTGATTAGCCAGTGTCTTATGCAGGTATGGCACACTTGGGCCCCACAAATGTACATCAATGATGGAGAAACAAGCCCAGTCCACCCGTAAAGTAAATGTCCACAAGACGTGCATGTAGATAGGTGTCCCCAACAGCGATGCGCGACCCGACTCATACGGATTTTGGGGGCTCGACTGTGAGGTGGTTCGATAGGCCGCCACCCAGTATGCGTGAACTATTCGACCGAACTGCAAATGCAGGAGCTTTACTGTGGTACTTGGTCACCAACGAATATATAAACCTTAGTCGCTTACTGTATCGCTATGGAAATATTCCTATCTTCAAATCGTCAGATAAGTTTGCCTCAAACCGCTGGCGCAAGAGCTTGGTGCATCGGCAACGGGAAACAGAATTGGTCTTTAGTGGGGAAGACAATCAACTGGATTTCAAGCGTCAGGAGTATGATGATGAAAAAGATGAGCTCAATGAGCCAATGGTTCTGATAATCACTTAGCACCATAGTAGCCCTCATACCCTGAATTAGACATCAGGTCTCCGTCCTATGGTACACATTTAGCTTGCTGACGTAAACGGAACATTTTACTGCCCGCTGTAGATAGGTGTAATCCCCGATCTCAAGGGACTGAATCGGCTGTGAAATACCGACCCTCCGAAGCCGTTATGCAAGTCTAAGTTTCGAAACAGATGTGTGCGGTGAAGGTCTTGCATCACACGTTGACAGAAATGTTTCATAAACAATTGGCGACAATAATTGTTGTTTCGTGCATGGTCAATTAAGAGGAACGGATCGCATGACAGGAATCAGCCTCCGTTAACAGTTCAATTCGATTTGTTTCAGCAACTTGATAATAATACGTCCCCAGTACTTCTCCCATGATCCACTAAGCGGTGTAGAGCGGCTGCGAACTGCATGTCAGCGTGGGTTGGAAAACGCCGTCTGACGATATAGAATTACCGACACATAGCAAAATCAGGAAACAATGGGCAAGTAAAGTGGGACCAGTCTGTCGACAACGGACCCCGATATAACTCAAATGACTGTACGCACATGTGTAGTAATGGGTAGCACGGGAGTCTGGTCCGCTGAATCATAGTGACTGGAAAGATGTAGTACGTTCAGGTGAACAGAGAGACGAAAGGCTACCACAATCGTGGTACACACACCCATAGCCAAAGCGAACATAGAGAACAAGATCCCGAAAAAGGCTGGTACGAATGCGGACACATTCTGTCGCATGCCTATTTGAGGCTGTTTTAAGTAGCGCGCTTGCATGATGAGCCAATGCCAATTGTTGTTACGAAAGTATTACATTGTTAACTAATTTGTTTATCACTGCTTACATTTATCTACTAGAGTTCGAGGCCATGATTGAAGGACCCGAGAAACACTGAGTACTCCACACCCCACTACCAGACTCGCATGAAGTCTTCTAATCAGATGAAGTGAGCAGCACAAGGCGTCCAAAGATCGTTCCTCTGAGTCAGCTTTTGGCACCACCTTCGGTTGGTCCGTTTAAAATAACACTGCGTCTAATTGCAAAAGTTTCATTTTCGTTGCCATTCTCCAGCTGCATTTTCGGATATCAATCCAACACTTTTATTCAATGGACCCAGTTGACTTGTTCATAACCTGTACAATTATAAATTGTCGAATGAGTAGACTCACTGTCCAGTCAGACGCTAACCAATGAAAAAAGTTGAGCTTTATTTAAGGCATTAAAGCGTGGAAAAACCTGTTCGACAACCCCATATCCAGTACAACAGGATGAGATATTAAACGCCGTTGACCATAAGGAGCCAACTCCGGACTGTAATTTCGAACACTAAGAGGATCATAAAAAAGAGCGTAAGGTACTTCTTCAACTCTCATATATATGTGGGAAGAACTAGAAGAGCCATGAGACAAAGAAGAGCCCTCATGACATAATTTGAATTTGGAAGCAAAACGCTTTTGACAGCATGCTCGTGCAGTTAAATAAATAAATTACTAGCTTATATTACTCGTGAGTAGCAGGATATTAGATGTAAGCTTTCAAGGTATTCATCCCAGCAGTTCACAAGCTACACAACACAGCCTACTCCGGAAAAGCACCAGACGCGTTTCACCCTATTAAGACTCGTCAGTGGTGCGCATTCCCTCGGTACCCTACTGAGGATCGAACCCATGACCGCTAGAGGCAAATGCCAACTAGCTAGTAGCTTAAGCCACTGAGCCATGGGGGTTAGGCTGTGCTTTGCAGATTATTCAGTACTGGGATGAATACCTCAAAAGATTACGTCTAAAATCCTGCTACTCACGAGTAATATAAAATACATAGCCTCTCCTAGTTTCAAATGCTATGGATATAACGTCTAGCGAGAGGACGTCATCACCTCGCAGGCTAGCCACTGTCAGTGACAGTGGAAGATAGGTGGTGTTATATCCCAGTTAGCTTGCAAATTATGTAGCTCAGCCAACGTCTCCCATGGCTCAGTGGCTTAAGCTGCTGGCTAGTTGGCATCTGTCTCTAGCGGTCATGGGTTCGATCCCTAGTAGGGGACCGAGGAAATGCGCACCACTGACGAGCCCCAATAGGGCAAAACGCATTTGATGCTTTTCCGGAGTAGGCTGTGTTATGTAGCTTGTGAACTACTGGGATGAATACCTTAAAAGATGAATAGTTTCTAATTCATCAAGGCACACCTTATCAGGCATGATCAGAATGTTAGAGGCGATGCTACGCAATAGACATGTTGCGATGCATGTGAAGGGGCCAACGGTGATGAGCAATAAGATCGATAGCGATGTGAAGTAAGTATGAGGTTATATGGGTGTAGCATAGAGTGAGAAGCCATGGGCAGTGACCTTATTCGCTGGCGAGTAACAGCAGTCACGTCACAGTGTTTTTAAATGGACGTTGGTGACTTTTTATAGGGAGAACGCTCGCCATGCGAAAACCCACAACGTCCTGGAACACTGCCACCGATCCTTTTGAACGGTTATATATAAATAAGTATTGTCCACTGTGCGAAGCACGCCCCTAGAGGTCCGGTAATGTAGGTACAAAGATGTACAATATTTTGATCATCAGTTACAGAAGTTTAAATTCCAATCAAACACTGGCACATGAAGGGACAACGGTGGCTCTAATAGAGTGGAGCATATATAGCAGGCTTTTGATATATAGCGGAATGTTTGAAAGATAAAGTTGATGGTTTGTAATGGTACGATAGGACGAAGTCAAGAAAAGAAATGCGACAAAGCATTTGTAAGAAACATGATTTCTGAATGGTTTCCAAGGGAAGGAGGGAATCTGCTCGATGAACGTAAGGTTTGTTCAAGTGTGTATAGATCAATCGCGACTGAACCAAGTTTTTGCTAGCCACAGTCGGTAGTCATCCTATTTCGCTGGATGGTGTCAAGTTGCTGGCTGGCTCCTAGACATTACCATCGGTAAGCGTCAATTAGTTTCACACTAGCGAGATGGATCAAGCGTACCCGTCCAGGGTAACTCCAGGCGATTGGAAGCCGTTGGATCGTCCAGTGGTTATGGTCAGTTGAGTTAAACTGACCTTTCATTGCAGCTCTCGGGAAATAAATTCGTGTTGCGTTGAGTATCGTGACATCTCATTGTTGAAATTAATTCACTGGCGAGGCGGATACAGTTTAAATGGTAGCTTAACGCCAGACAATTGTTTTCCAAAGTAGAGCTTCCGCTCCAAGAATATATAGTTCACGGAGGTAATACTCCAAAGAAAGTGAAAAGGAGAGTCAGCATTACTCATTCGAGAACCTAGACGATTTTGCATAAATTTTGTACTGATGCTAACCCGAGTAAGTAAAAGTACTCCTACGCTGACTTCTAGCAATGGGCTTAGAATGAAAACTGACAAGGAGAATACCTCGTATAGTAAAGGAAACCAAATGGACTACCATAGTGATGCTTACGCTTGCGCGCATCATTCGTTCTCCATGCACAAAATAAATACAAAATATGTACCTGTTTCCGAAGTATGCATCCTAGAGGTGAATCGGTAACTCCACCCTGGCCGAACAGCAGTCAACCTAACCGTCACTCTGACACCGGCGTCGTCAGTTTGATCAGGTAACACCTAGCAATCTGTGTGTATGTGCAAGACAGCGACCAAGTATCTGCTGCCTAACCATTGACCTACATCTGAACCCATCACCATGCATTTATCTTTCGTATGTTAACCTTATATGATTTGTACCGGCTCGTAGATGAATCATTGACTACAATTGTTTGCTCCAGACCGGTGTTGTTGAGTGATGTCTATACTGGCACGCATCAATCGTTCTCTATGCACACAATAAATACAAAACTAGGTACATGCTTACGAAGTATGGAGATTATATCGGAAATGACTATGTAACGGCGATTAGGTTGTGGCAGGCAATAAGAATGAAGTACACCGAACCCATAAAGGGATGTATATTACTGCTGAGGTAGAAAATGGCTGTTTTTACTTTCTTGACGTAAGCCTAAAGAAACTCGATAGCGGGAGGTTACAGCGCTATGTATATAGAAAGTGCACGTGGAATGGCCAATACACTAATTTCCACAGCTTCGTGCCACTGAAGTTGAAATGGAACTTAATTCTTAACCTAGTCAGTCGAGCGGATAGAATCTACTAGCATGATACACTTTCAGAGGAACTACAGCGCATATGCGCGATGCTGCGGGAAAATGGTTATACAGATATTTTTTTTATAAAAGTCCATTGGAGCAGAAGTACACACCAATAGTTTTGAGGGCTAACAGAAAATCGATTTTCCTGCAACTTCCGTACAAAGGGGAAATCGTGGCGGAAATTTTCTAATCGTCATCTATCACAGCAGCTTAGACGTACGTTCCCGGCAGCAAAGTTACAGACATACTTCACCAGCACACTGATGGTGAAGCTCAGTTTCAAGGATAGTACACCTATCAACGACAATTTCATGTCTATCTGATCATACATCTGTTCCTGTGAAGCAGGATACATTGGTTGGACGACTAGGTGTCTAACCAAGAGAGTAAAAGAGCACCGTCCCACATGGCTAACGGCTGGAATAGGAAGAGCATGCAACTCCTCCATAGCTGCCTATATCGCCGACACAGGGAACAATGCCAAAGCAACCGACGCATTCAAAATTATCTAAAAGGCCCCAGACAATAGATCGAGGTATATGCGCAAACGGATACTAGAAGCCACTGAGGCGATCGCGATCCAGGTAAATGAATCGGGTCTTTGCATTCTGAAGTGATTAATTCAGGCCTTACGGCTACCATGGCCCGATTGACTTGTGACTATTACTTAGTTGGATCGCAAGCAGGTCCAGACATTCGCCTGATCAATAGTGATGGTTGACCTCTACTAGACATTGACTTTACTCCCTTTTTAACGACCTCAATAGTCTAAGTTCATTTGTATTTAATTGTATTAGCCTGAAGAAAAATTGTCAAAAACATATATTCGCTAACGTTGCCAGTAAATCAAAGAACTTACTAAGTTTAAGAATGTAAACTATGAAGCATCGAAGGTGGTGTGGAAGACGGAAAGAAAATGCTGTCAAATAGGGATAAAAGATGAATCAATCAAAAGGAGACCCTCAGAATCAGATGTATCAAAACTCTGGACCTGCTAGTTGGCAAGATGCAGGTCAGACATGATTAGGGATCTGAATCGCAGAGCATTACGGCAATCCCAATTGGCAAGCTAATAAACGTGAGGAAATTATTAATAAAACATTAGCCGTGGTGAGAGGGGGAAAGGAAAAAACCAGTGCTAATAATAATAGACAATTTTAGCACTGCGGACCATGTTCTTGGTTAAAAGGTATTCCTAACGAGTGATGCCTAACAAGGCAAACATCTTATTCAACAAAAATATACCGTGTCAATCCAATATCGTTGACACTGACCTGCAGGCGAGATAACTGAGCAGCAAGGCCGGTAAACATGGAGAGACAGTATTGAGTAGATTAAAGTACACGCTACTGGTATATAGTTGAGGGAATCGAAATAATTGTTTCGATCGCACTGTAGAGCCAAAGTGCCTATATATATATATATATATATATATATATATATATATATATATATATATATATATATATATATATATATATATATATAGTTCGTCGCAATCAGCCGAGAATTTCGCTATATCAAATACCATTCCAGGAAGGCACCAGACACCCATTTCACCTTATGGAGGCTCGTAACTAATGCGCATACTTCAGTCCTCTTCCGAGGATCGAACCCATGACTGCTAGTGGCTTACGCAAACTAGCCCGAAAATAGTCACTGAACCATGGCGGACTGCAGACGAGCATCATGTATTGTTGGCTAACTGCGATACAGCCCGACTCATCCTTCACTGCCATGTAGATGACAGCGGTAGTCCTTCCAGCGTCAGGACTTCCCGGTTACGACAGCTATGAATTGACACAGCACTTTTATGAGAGCAGTAGGGGCGAGATTGTATGGCTTATGGTTGGAAGGAATTTGGCGAGTATTTTGAGTTCGTCGCAATCAGCTAACTATTCAGGTGGTGCATGCATGGCGGTGGAGCATGGATCGGGCTACAGGGGGTTATCTAAT